ATATTAAAAACAAAAACATTACTTTCATAAATGTATACTAATAGTGAATAGCAGAATCTTGTTTTGTAAATAGATTGTAACTAGGCCTATGGGCTGGTAAAGTTTCATTTTTAAAACGATACATAAAAATATGTAAATTCTCTAACAAAGAGAATGAATCGAATTAGCAATCGACTGATTTTTAAACATTTTGCACAGTGGATGAAGAAACTGCTTGAGAGGTAATTGATTGTTATTTAATAGGTATGTAAAATATACACAAAACGTTGTCACACACGACGATGATGTGCTGTAAATAGAATTTCACACTTTTAAAAATGAGCTACTGCATGTCATGCATTGTAATCAATGATAAAGAGCTGAGGACATTGTAGGCAACATTGTTAGAACTGTTCCATTGGAGTTTTGGTGTACTTAATTTGGTTTTTCATGATATTTGATTTATCTGACTCCTTTTTTCAGCATATTATTTGTTTTTAATTTGTTAGTTTTAGTCTTTCCACCTTTCTTCTCTTGTATGTAAGACCGTGCACTTCTGACTGTGAGTGTCACCGATACAAAGGTGTAATGTCACCAAATAAAGAATAAATGCACATTATAATTGCGGAATCAGTCAACCCAGATGTGCTAAAATCGGGAAACCCTAAGTGGTTGAGTTGAACAATGAATTTATATTTCAATTACGTTAACACACAGCAGATAAAAAAATCTTATAATTGCCGAAATTGAAAGTTTATGCAAAGATTAGGAATTATGAATTACTATATGTGAGTTGTGAAGAAAATATTTGCTCATTCTAACTTTCTAATAACTTAAAACTCATAAAAAAAAACTAAAAAAATAAAATATTTGTTCAAGATTATTTTTCTCGATTCAGAATATTTTTAAAAATAGACTTACATGTGTTCGTACCTTGTAAGCATGGGCCGGTTCCAGCAAGAGTCCAACAACAAAGGCTGCTACCAAAAAATTCATCCAGACCATTTTCAATGGCTTTTGCTCTGTGTTGGTTTGTGGGTGTCTTAGAATCATATTCAGTATTTATAGACAAGTTTATACCATCATTTATGCAAACATGCACTTAACTTATTCTTAATATAAGATTCTGTTGCATACTTCACTACTTTGAAAGGTTTGTGTTTCCACTTAACGTTTCTTCATCAACGACTATGAGTAGAATCTTGATATCTACCTATTCGTTCAGAGGGTTGTATGCCATAGCAACTATACTGATGCGTAATTTCTCCAATTTTATTTTAGGTGGTTCATTGCTATATTTCAGGGGCGGATCTGGGTTTAAAATAAGGGGTTAAATGTTTCCAAAAATCCTCCCACCCTAAAAAAATTGGGAGTAGGGGTCCTCCCCTGGGAAAATTTTGATTACTAGATGGCGGGAAATGAGCTTTCTCGACTTCTGAAGTGTTTTTTAATTACTCTTAAAGTTCTTCAAAATTCAAGGTTTTATGCCCCCTTGAAAACGGTCAGGTAAATTGCTCTCATTATTACAGTAAATAGGTCCTAGACCTATTATGTTTGTACCGGTATAGGTCTACATACAGAAAATAAAAGTGGGTAGTTGCATACGTATCTTTTATTTATATATGAATCGATGAACCCCAAAGAAAAGGAGGTCGGTAAAATTTTGATTCCTAGATGGCGGGAAATGAGCTTTTCCGACTTCTGAGATGTCTTTTTTAATAACATTTATGTAAATTGAATGTTTCCCCCTCCTGAAAACGGTCAGGTAAACTTTCCTTATTCTTATTACAGTAAATAGTCTTATGTGTGTATATACATAAAACAAAGTTGAGTAAATAGACTACGTATTCTTTTTCCATGAATCGATGAGCTCAAAGAGAACGAGGGTCGGGAAAATTTTGATTCCAGATGGCGGGAAATTAATTTTCCCGTCTTTTGAGGTGTCTTTTAATGACTTTTAAGTCATTAAAAGTTTAAGCTTTTTCCCTCTTGAAAACGATTCAATTAATTGATGAACCCCAAAGAGAAAGTGGAGTCCGGGTTCTCCTCGGGAAAAATTTAGATTCCTAGCCTAAGTTCTTCAAACTTCACGGTTTACCCCTCTCGAAAACGGTCAGGTAAATGTTTTTGTGTCATGGGGTCATGGTGACAGTTTGGCCGGCTCCAACCCCTAAAATTTCATAATAGTTAATTTTTATTTTATATTTATACCTCTATCAATTTAAAAAATCAATCTAAAATTACTAAATTAATGATTGTTAAATAAGTTGAAATGTACAGGCAATACAAAAACAAGCGCACGGTGGATTATTTTTTTAATAAGAAACAACAAAAAAGGTTTAACAGGGCTCAGGGTGCCGAAAAAAATCAAAAGTGAAAAAAAAGAAACTGTCATCAAGTGATGTGCTTATAACCAAGCCCCTGTCAACAAAGACAATGCAATGCAAACAAAAGGGAACAAATATAACTAAATCCCGTATAGATCGTTGCTAAGATTAAATTTAACGAATCTCTGAGCAGTAAATTGAAAACAATTAAAAATGCATACGGAATACTAATATAATTACTTGATTGTTATAATCCTGTACAATCTTTTTTTATTCTAAATTAAAATTATTATCTTATATTAATATTTATGTATCATCATTTTTAAAAATAGGGTATTCATAAATATTCAATAATATATAAATTAAGAATAAAAGGTAAAATAAATTTCTTGTACACTCGTCAAATAAAATAACAATAATGTGGATTAAAAGATATGAAAGAAATGTACAGTTGTCGTTACATAACAAAATGAGAAAAAATATTTGATACTAGTTAATATAATATAAAAATAGAATAGATAGCCAACATTAATACAGTAAAAAAGAGAGAAAAAAAATCAAAAGAAGATACCGGTATAGAAAAAAAACAATTAAAAAAATGTGGTCCAAAAATACCCATTAGGCCTATTAGAAGTATTAAACATCAGTAAAATACTCCTCCAATCATCGCCATTAACATTCATCATTCCCACCACTACAATCATTACATCTTCCTGCCAGCGATGGCGCCACAAGGTGTCCGAAGTGTCCGACGGAGGGGTCCGAACCTTGGTGACAAAGCCTAGGTCGACTGCCGATAATAAAAATAATCCCTGTTAGGGTTCATGGGGAGAGTTTTAATGGCTTAATTTGGTCCTAAATTTGCTTTTAGACCACAATATTAGGGATTGGCAATCAAAATAGCGTTATTTGGATAGGCAAATTATTATTATTTTTTTAAATTTTTGATCCGACGACCTAGTCTTTCGTCGGACGACAGGGGGAAGGGGTAAGGCTTGTCCGACGGGGAAGGCAATGCCCACCCTAATTCCCCACCTCCCCGCTGGCGCCACCACTGCTCCCTGCATCATCTATCGTCACCATCATTATAATCAACAACAACATCAATATCATCACAACCACCACCATCATCATCATAATCATCAATATCATCATAACCACTATCATCCTAATCACCCTCATCATCCTCATCATCATAGATATAAACGAATGGTGCTATAGAAAAAAAAAAGAATTGTTTTGATACCACTCCAGGTGGCGTTTTACATATAAACAATACTGTGCATGGAGTTGAAAGCACGAAGATAATAACAAACTAATGTAAGTACAGTATTTAATATTTTACATCGTTAATTCAATAGTTGAATGGAAATTCTGTCATCATACTATGTTTATTTTTTAAAAGTCTGTCAGGCATTGAAGGCATTGGCAATTTCCCTCGACAGAGACTTGCACTGACATGGCTGCTTTCTATTCAACAACATTCCAAGTGACTCGCTAAAATCATCAAAGACCTGAAACCGGCTAAAGAAAGGCAGAGGCTATCGGCACTGCAGCAGTAAGAAAAAAAAGCTATTGTTTTCTATCGGCACTACTTTCACAGTCGAAAAGCTGCTGTTTGATTAATCAAAATGGATGTTTTGATCGAAAGATGACATTATTGTATCAATACCGTAATTAATTAGGTCTAAAATAATAATAATAATAATAATAATAATAATAATAATAATAATAATAATAATAATAATAATAATAATTTCATTTAATTTCATTTATTTTGTCTCAATAAAATACATAAAAAACAACAACCGGTTACAATACAACAAAATAAAAGCATAAAAAATCTGAATCAGGCCGGACAGGATTCCTAAAAGTGAACCAAATAACTAGCATGTAGGTCTCCTAATGCACTATTCCGATTACACATAAAATAATAATGAGCAATTGAAATAATACTTAAAATCTGTAAAATTTGCCTTAACAATAAATATATATATAGAAATTGTAAAACTTATTTAAAATATAATTTAAGATCG